AAACGGTTGGTTCTTGGATCCCCAGGTACATTTTAACAAGTGATAATGCAGGTATGCGCATATGTGTCCTAAACCCTAACCCCATTCTAGGCTTTTGGGTTTGCGGGGCCCTGGGGCTTTTGAAGATTGAGCACTTGGATTTTGCAGTGTTCATAGGCGTTTTTTTTTTTTTNNGGGGGGGGGGTTGGAGATGTTCAGTGGTAAGTTGAGGGTTTCGGGGGGTCTCAGGTTTTGGAGCTTGATAGATTGATAGATGTGCATAAGCTGCCTAAACCCTACACATCCCCAAAACCCTATAAACCCTAGCTTTGCAGCATGGATGGCCCCGGAGTTTATAGCAGACTGTTTCGGTTCCTGTGGGGTTAAGAGCTCAAAGCGCAGTTCCCGCTATGCTTCGCAAATCCGCCGAGGGCGCTTTCGAGAAGGCTGCGTTGCAGGAGGCTCCAGGGGTGGCTAATGTAGGGGCCTTAATTATTAGAATAGGGTTTTGGGGCCCACTATACTATAATTAGAATATAAGGAACCCCAAAAATAGTAGAGGTAAAACCCAAACACCCATAAGGGTTTAGGGTCAGGCGGCCGGCAAGCGCGCGTAGAGTCGCGGCCGAGTGGCGGTGCACAGGCGAGCCTTCGTTCAACGCAGCAACGGTGGGCAAGAGGTCCTGGAAGGACCGCAGCCGGGAGTACTCGTCTCGCTTCAAGCCCGCACGGGGGCCGTTCGAAGACGCCGAAACTCTCCGCATTGCATCCTCGGGCGTGAGTGGACGTGGAAGTGCGTCTGGTTGAGTTGGCCAGCGACTCATCAGGAACTCATTCAAATAAATTACCACGTTCCTTCACATAAGTTGTCAGCACCGACAGCGTCTGGCCCTTTCGGCACGGGGAATTGCGTGCGGACGCCTGCAGCGTGCCTCTTAAACGGTATGCCAAGCAAAAGAGGGCCCCTGTCCTATCTATTCTGTCCCTCTGTTCCAGGGCTGATCTGAGGACTCGAAGCTGGGTCGCAGGTCTTCGATTTTTCGGGCAACAAAGCCGAGTATACTGTACCGTTTCAAGGATCTGGGATTCGTAAGTAGGGCTACGAGGTACTGCGTGCCTTTCTGTCTATCGTTTTAACTACGTTTATAACCTGGCTTGCGACGCCCCCTGATCCTTCAAGCATATCGTAGCCACACGGACGTCTTGGACTGCGACACAGGGCTGTCCTGTAAGCAACAGCTACATGAAAGATATACAAGGCATGATAGCAATAATGAGCCAGAAAGATGTAACAGCTACAGTACTTCTTTCTGGCTCTTCATTGCTGTCATATCTTGAAAATGTCTTTCTGTATGCATGGCTTGGCTACTGGTTGCGGGGTGCCCACACCCGGAATCCAAATCCCACATGTCCTTAACCCACGTACTGAATTACTAAACCCTGAATCCTAAACCCTAAACCCCGCATACCGAAATCGTACAACTGAGATCACCGGCTTCTGCAACAGCAGGTATAGCTTCGGCAAGAACCTCGGACTCGGGCTGGACATGGTGCGCTCTACAGCGAAAGAACAAGACTGTGTCCAGTACTTCCCCACCTCTGGAATTACAAGTAGGAGTGGTGAACACAAAACAAAACATGTCCAACAGGCCAAACAGACATTATATGATATCCACATAGCATGACAGCCAGAAAGGTACGAGTGGCGCTCAACGAGCTCGACACTCTTGAAACCGACCTAACGAGCCGAAAAAGGCTCCAAGCAGTGGCCTCGATACTTTACTAGGAGTTAGGATAAGGGGTCCCTTGAGGATAATAGACCCTCTCAGTAAGGCCCCTCTTAAGAGAGCCATAAGTAGGGTTAAGAAGGGTCCCCTTTAAGGGGTCTCCTTAATACCACGTACCAAGGATTTACGGCTAGAAGGGATGCGGTTTGTTGCCTGAATATAAGCGGCGAGTGATACCCATCCTTGACACTTGGATGTGTCTCAAACGCGGGTCCACCAAACCATTCTAATCCTAATCCTTACCCGAGAACACATAGCCATATTTTTTGAGAGTCCTCGCAGATGTTGCCAAGACTTTCAGCCAGCGAGCAGCGAGCATCTTCTCCGCAAGCAAATCTTCAGATATTGCAAGCACGCGGCTGCTGGGCTTCCACACTGCTGACTTGCTATCATGTGGCAACTTCTACATCATGCGGGGTTCTGGCCGCTACCACGGTTGCCGATCACAACTCCTCGGCTGGAATGAAAAACAAGCATATTCGGTATCAACATAAGATGCTAACTGCTAACTTCACAGATAATGTGAAGAAAATACCAAGACAAAGTCGACAGAAAAGGACAAAAGAAGGCGTGTCTATTGCACGGTTTTAGAATCGTTCGAAGGCTTGCGGGGGGGGGGGGGGGGGAGTGTGCAGAAATTAGTGGCTCAAGGGTTTGTGTGGAACTGCAGTTAGTACTGGCGTGCTTCTTGCAAGAGCAGTACTTACGGAGGGGTAAAACTAATAATGGCCAAATCTTATCAAGGGCTATTACTCTACATACTTTGGGGGTCCAGGTAAGAGCAAAAACAACCACAATGAACTCCAGCTCAAAGCGCATGAACATGACGAAATTGAAGTCTGCAGCTTCCGGAATTGCACGCACGGAGCGGCTCATGTTGTTCTTCGAAGATATGGAAAAAAAAAAAAGCAAAATTCTCGATCCTCCCTAGGGCGCAGCCTGAGCTTCAAGACTAGATTCATGGGTTTAGGGTTTAGGGTTNNAGGGTTTTTGTAGGGTTTAGGGCTTAATTAGGGTTGTGCATCCTAAATTACCCACCCTAAACCCTGAACCCTAAACCCTAGGTTATCCGTCCTGAATCTTGAATCCTAGAATGCTGCAGTTTCCCGCGCCCTACTGAGAATCAAGGCCTGTATCGTGAATTTGCCGGTGCCCAAAAATGCAACTAAGAGGTTCCGACCGCTGCTACTTGGCAAGGATCTCTGCAATGCACCATCCTAAACCCTAAACCCTAAACCGACAGAATCAGATGCTACCTGAAGCCACTGCAAAGAGAAACGACGGATTACCGTGCTGCACATGCTCCAAAGCACTCAACCGGCACAAGGCATTGGGGAGTCTCATCACGAGACACCTACTAAGAGCCGCACGGGTAAGTCTCAATTGGGTGGGCAGGTCGTCGCAACGACTCCTATGGCTGCGGACAACTGTTCCATACATGAAGACTGTAGACACCTCCACCAAGAAGCAGTACCCTGGCTCTACGCATGTCTATGTTCGAAGCTGCATTGAATTCAACACCCCGCGGTGCTGCAGCAGTGAATGTGCGCAGAAAGGCAGGAAGCAGTACATCTTCGCAGAGAAGGGGACCTACACTACACTACCCTAGCCCTAAACCCTAAACCCTAAACCCTAGACCACAACCTCCAAACTCTGACACATCTGGCACCGCCGCGCTGACGAAGGTGAAGGACACGCTGGGGTGTTGCACGCATTGCACTTCCCACGGCACGTCCCTCGCAAGGGGCTCAAGCGTATCCCAAGACGTGGTAAACTGCCCTAGGTTGCCCTAGGAGTTCTCCACGGGATTGTAGCCAGCCCCTGCTTCTCGGGGGCCTTTGCCTGCAGGCTGCGACCCAATGAGGTTTGGCAAACCCGGGTCGGCAGGACCAAAAATCTTCGCCTGTACAGCTGGATGTTGGCTCAAGGCCCCGAGTCCGAGAACGAGAACGCAAGCCACGACGATCAAGGCAATCAGCAACCAATTAACCCCCCCTGCCGCAGGCTTTGCCACGGGCGCGGGGCTGGGCTCTTCTGTGGGCGTGGCCGTCCCTCCTGCCGCTGGCCCCTCGCAACCTTGCATCAGCTGGTCAAGCCTTTTTGTGGCCTTGATAATTGACTTGTCGCGTTTGGAGATACATTGGTGGGGGTGCCAGTGAAGATGGCCTGGTACTCCCACCTCGCTCTCGCAGGTTAACGAGAAGTTCGCATGACGGCCTTTCAGGGGTCTGAAAGAAACACTGGAATTTCCGGATTCAGTAGTGTTTAGGGTTTAGGGTTTAGGGTTCCGGCTTCATTAGTGGCATGGGGGGAGTTGTTTTGTTTTGCCTTGGGCTGCACATGCCGTACTCTGTTACACCAGGATTAAGGAAAAGCCCTGGCAAAAAGGTCCTGGACCCTTGGATCAGGGTACCAAAGCAGCAGAGGCCTAGTAGACCAGCTCGAGGACCAAGGAACTAGAAGACGGGAGGACCATTAGGACCCAACAAAACAAACAAAACAGTTCGGAGAACAGCCTCAGTCCTTATTCTTGATATTGAATGAGGTAAGGGCCTTAATAATTAGAATAGGGTTTTGGGGCCCATTATACTATAATTAGAATAAGGACGCCCCAAAAATAGTATAGGTAACGATGATAAGGCCCCTATAGTACTCCCCCACCTCGCAGGACATGCGCGTGCCGCTCAATCATGTCGTTCTTGCAGCCCTCCTCCAAGCGATCGAATTGGCTGGTGAAGGAATTATGGCTGACTTTGAGGACGCAGTGGTACTCCGCCAGGGGAGAATGCTTTTCGTGCCTCTTCAAAGCTTCGGAGTTGCTGTAGACCGTGTTATGCTCAAAGAGGTCCTCATGGTGGGTAAGTCCAACCCAAAGCTCGCAGCGCTGCTCCTTTACTGGGCCGAGCTCGTAGCCCTTGCAGTCAGATTGCTCGGCACATTTTTTCTCGCACTTCTCACGGCTCACTCCATGACCATCCGCCGCCGGGTCCGTGTTCGACAGCACGATTCCCTCTTTGCCGGTGGGCCCCAGGTGGGCATCGACCTTGTCCCCTCGGCACACCGAACCTGGGCCTAGGTTCAAGAACTCGTCCTCGGCACGAATGCTCTCGAAGTTGATGGCATCGAAGTCGCCATGGAGGGTGTGGGAATGATCTAAATGCCAGGCTCGCCCCCCCATCCACAAAGCCACGCAGAAAGCAAGCATGAGTAGGAGAACTCCACCCGCTGCGACCTTGCAACTTGGCCGATGCTCTGCAGCTGTTTGCGGTGTCTGCTCATCGCCATTCTCAATGTCTTCGCTGACAAAGGGCTGGAGAGCAGGCGACATGGGCAAATCGAGCTATGGCTGACGCTTTGGCAGATTGAGCCGCTGACAACGGCGTGTATGCCTCAAGCCCAAAGTGCTCCTTGCAAGCACTGTCCGTGTATGACAAGCTATTCACATTATTAAGGCCCCTGGTCTACGTGAGCCGCACTGCCTCCGCGATGTGGCGCGCAACTTCAAGCCTTTGCCGGGACAAGGGCTTCGGAGCTGATCGTATTAACTATGAGGGTAGAAGTGTTCCATTAGTTTTAGGTTATTATAATTATGGAAACTGATATGGTTTTAGAGAGATATTGGTACGGGCTCGAGGGCTTAGAACAGAGTGAATTGGGCTCACATACTTTTGTTGCATACTTGAGACTGGTAACGGACCTAGGCCCTAGGCACTATAGGGACAGTCTATAAAAATATTATGCAGACATCGACTTTTAAGCTTTCAGCCAACAAGGTACCAAGAAGAGAACCTGCAATATAAAGAGTAGCACTACTTATGTAGTAATTATCGAAGCTGCTCTGCATACCAAGAAACAAGAACAAGTCAACTACGAACCACTAAAACCCTAAACCCTAAACCCCTAAGCCCTAAACCCTAAACCCTTATGTAACCCTAAAACCCTAAACCCTAAACCCCCGAAGCCCTAAACCTGAAACCCTGGCTGACAGGAAGCCTGGCTGCTCGAACTTATGAGATCAAGCCTCTCGCCTGAGACCCACAGACCCAAACTCGAAAGCACAATCCCCGCACTCCTTTCAAACCCAAAAAAACCTATAGAAACTATGCAAAACATAAAAATGCCGTAAACTCAACGGTGAAGCACCGCTTTGAAGGTTTGACGTCTGGAGTTTTGGGGCTTCGGACAAGGGTGCGTGGGCGATCCTGATGTTGCAAGGAAAGCCTATAGTATAGCTGAGTTTATGACTTCATCGAATATAGTTTAGTTTAGGAAGGCTGTACTAGTTACTAGGCGTCGATTTCAGAAGCCCCAAAACTGTTTATAGCTTGGGCTCAGTTTTGGCTCAATATTTCCCAACTCCGTACCTAGTGTGAAGCTGGGAGTGTGGCCAAATCCGTAGGGGCTAAGGGATTGAGTTAAAGGAAACTACAGGTGGGGAGTTGAGGGTATATAGGGCTTCTATAAGGCTTCCATAAGGTATATAGACCTTCTACAAGGCTCCTATAACGGTAACTACCCACATCAGAATGTGCTACATTGGGGGTTTAGCGCTGGCGAGGTCTGCCTTCGAGGGCTTCAGGAAAATGCCGGGCGCATGAGTTTTCTAAACCCCGCATCTTCTCTATCATTCACTGACTTCACCTTGGAACCCGAAAGCTTGAATTCTGAACCAGAAACCGCATAGTTATCCTAAGCCGGAATCCCCTAACACTTAGTTCGAACACCTAAACTTTGTCCAATGATAGGGCTTCCCCACAAATATATATATATATATATATCTATATATGTATAAATATATATACATAGAGAGAGAGGTATAGATATAGAAATAGATATACATACATACGTACGTACATACATACATACATATACTCTCATAACCATAACTATAACGAAGCTCCATAATATGGCACCTTCATATGCCTTTGTCCTTTCGGGGCCCCCCAACATCTGGGCCCTCCATAGATCCCATGCTGAGCGGAGCTCTCGCCATTGCTCCCCGTCAGTTGCCGATGCTGCAGTCAGGCCTAGGGAGCGGAACTGGGATTGAACAACGATAGGGTATATATAGGGTTTATGGCTCAGTGTTTACGGTTTAGGGTATAGAGTTTGGGATGTGCCTATAGTCTCCATGGAAGTTCATTTTTAGGGGTTTACCATATAGGTTCCTGATTAGAACACTGGTTAGAGCACACAAGGGAACCACAATGGACACTATAGGTAGGTTGGAACTTCAGGCATGTGTGGTTCCGGCTTTAGGCTTAGAGTTCAAGATTTGTTGGTTCTTAGGGGCTGGGTACCCTAGCCCAAGAAAGGGTTAACTTTTTATGATGTAGTAGGATATGTAGGATTGTAGTGAATCTCCGAAAGTTGGAACATGGATTTAGGATGATTCGTGCTAGGATCCCCTATATTTTACCTTTAGAGCATGAGGACAACAATGTTCCAACTTTCCGGCTTCTACTATGTAAGAG